GCTGTTCTGCGACCGCCGCACGACTGTCGCCCGCTTCGTATCACGTCGTTTCACACCTTTTGCCAAGTCACCCGCGTCGTCTGCACTGGGCAGGGCTTCCTTCTACGTACAATCAGAAATGAAGCAGGTTGCGAGTTGGAGATACCGCTGTGGTCGAGATGGGTTCAGGTGTGATCGGCTTGAAAAATGGTTGGTGAGGAGGCGGTGGCGCCGGCTGGAGGTTTGCTTCCATGGCAGCATCGTCGTCACGAGCGCTGTCGTCATTGTCCCTTGGCTCGATGTCTTCGTCGTTGTCGGACTCCGAACTCTTGAAACCGTGTGGGCGGTGGCGAAGCGGGCGTGGTTCGGGTGGCGTTGGTGCCGGAGTTGAAAATGCATCACGCAACTTGGCCACCACCACCTATGCTGTGGCTCATTCCTTTTTGGCCACTGCACTCCGCTACGTGTCATCATCGTGGTCATGATGCTCGCAGTATTCACCTGCCGAGCTTGGTCACCGTGCTCAAGATCACCTGGACGCTAATTGCCAGATGACTGCTCATGAGAAAACCAAAACTGGGCGGATAAATGTTGAAGAATAAATTAGGAAGCGGCTCTGTTCTAGTTCATGTACAATGCCACGTGCAGTTGCAGTGCCTTGACTTTGGCTACAAGCAGTGTCATGTGCGACGCTCGATAGTACAATTCGTGGTTGGCATCGGTGACCCTGTTGATGGCTGTGAAGGCGTGAAAGTTAAAGTAGACGGCGTGCAGAATATCGGAGAGCTGCTCAAGTTGTTGCTGTTCGAGCAGTTCGACTGCTTGCGCAAGACTGTCGACGAGCCCAGAGTAAGGGTACAACTGGTTCCACATCGCCAAAGTCCACATTTCGCGAGCAAAGAAAAGCGTGCACATCATCTGGTCCTTGAGGATGGCGTCGTGCACCACCATCGGCAACGGCGACGCTGACTTCAATGCTTCCATGTGCTGGACGAGGTGTACAGCCCCCAAGAACTCGACTGCAAACAGGCGGCTTTCAAACGTGTACGGCTCTGCTAGAGCCCCACGTTTGCCCAGCAGGAGATACACCTCCTTCTTGCCATGCAAGCGTATATGCACGTCACAGGCTGCGTACTGCGCGCTTGGTCGCGACTGGCCAGCGATCGTGATCGTTCCTGTCGTGACTTGCACACTCAAGCTTGTCTTGGCCTTGCCAGGCCCGATGTTCAGCCGGTCCAGCACCGTCGGGTTGTACAGAGTGGAGAAGTGGCATGCCACGCCGTGGTCCGTCGCTCGTTTTTCCAGGCTGGGGCCGAGCAGCGCGGACACGCGTGTGAGCACGGCCATCGCGAGTAGAGGTCTGGAGCGGCAGGCAAAAGATGAAGTGGCCCAGAGCTGCTTCCTCAGAAAACGATTTCTCTGCGCCAACTCGCATGCGTGTCATGGACAGTTTATTGAAGTTTCAAATCACGTGGCTATCGACGGAGTTTCCCGCCCTGCGATTGGCCCAAAGCTGATTTTTCCGGATCCGGATAGCAACCAAAGGCTGCGACCAGGTGATTTGCAGCACGCACCGGATATTCTAGATGTTATCCGGAGTCTAAGTCGTATCCTTGGCACCTGTGGCCAACCAAAATGTGTATTCTATGTTTCGCTGGAATTGGAGAAGGGGGTACTCCTTGCGTTCGTCTTACCAAAGCCAACGTTCTCAACATTAGAGAGTTTAAAGTCAATCGACTTTCATATGAGTCATTGCATTGTGACTTACGCAGTTGGGCTGAATTCATTAAAAAAATTTGAGCCAATCAAAACGATCGTTGGAATTTCGATTGAATTTGGCGCGACAGATATATTTTCGTGGATCCTGGGAAAATCCCCTTAACAAAGGTTGTGAAATTGCAAACGATAAATTGGGTGATGCAAATACCCTTGCTGATTACTCTGACGCGCGTTCTCGAGTGTTGAGCTGACCAATCCAACCTCAGTTTAGCAATTATGACCAATCAAAATGGAACATGCTCGTCCGCTAGCGGCATTTCTCGACATCGCCGCGGCTCGCCAGACGTCGGTCGCACCGGTTTTCCGCGCTACGTTGAATCTGTCTGTCTGTCGCGTGTGTCGCAGCAATTCCATCGGCGTCGCTTCCAAAATGGACTAACGGTGGAGCGGTTTACGTGAACGTTTGCTGCAATAGCCGCTTTGACGCCTTGGGGTGGTATCGCGGGTAAACCTGACCTGTGCGTTTTTGGATGATCTGCTCGTGCTCAAATAGCAAAAACATGCCCATGATCATGGTGTCAATGGCTCAAAATATGGGTCGACACGACCAACACCATAACTGCTTAACCCCGAAACGGCATTGCGCATGGGAGTTCTGTCGGCCTTGAGGTCAACGTAGATATGGGTTCGGGTTTTTGATGGAAAGCCACGTCATATATATCCGGATGTCCGGATAAACCGTTGCATCCTTCAATAGCAAAACAAGATTGACCAAAGTATGCACAAAAAATGCACAGCAACATAGTACAATTCGAAATACAATTTAGTTTGTCTTGAGCCAATCAATTTGCCATTTCATGAATTTGCACCAATCCATGCGAAGGATGTCACAGTTTTGGCCAATGGATGCCCTAGAATCGACACACTTGAAACCTTGAGATGTTCGACCATATTCAAGCAATGCAAGCGTAGAGTGAAAAAGGGGGAGTTCGATTGCCTAGATGCACTGCTTCCACTTCTACTACTACTTGGTTTACCTTGCGGACTTGATTGACGTGAGGTCAAGGCTCCCACGGAAGATGATGAAAATACAGCATGCAAAGGCTTTAAGTGGGGGATAAGCTGTCGAGCTGTTTATTACAGATGGAATACAGGCAAGAATGACTGAATTAGGGTGTAACGACAAGAGGGCGACCACCAGTGAAAGGTCACACATATGTATGCTGTCTTGAGATATGTGAAACATTTACATGTTTCATGGAATAGTTGAATTGAATCGTCGCATGAAATCTGGGTGAAATGTCTTGACACCCCGAAACCTCACGGAATTTTGCACGACAACAAATTGTCTCATAACTGAATGATGAAGTTGAATCCAGGGATGCTGGGTTGATATCACGCGGAGTTTGCATGACACATTTCAATTTGCGATGACAATCCTACTGAACCAGCGCAACTCGCCGCTTGACGACGACCGCGTGCTCTGCGTCTTCCATGCTGTGCAAGTACCCACGTGCCTCTTCAGCAAACTGAACAATTACTTTTCCCAACCCACTAAGCTTACGGTCTTCATCAGCGCTGGTATTGTGAAGATTGAGCACAACATTTACGCCACTGAAATCGTTGCGGCTGATTTGGGCATCGTGCAACGGAATGAACACTCGGTATTTCTTCACGAACCAGCCCACAAGACAACCCTTCAGTTTGATTTTCCCTCGCCACTCGAAGCGCTCCACTTTGTTGGGACTGTCGACCTCCTCCAATACATTCACGCGTTGCGAGGGCCTCAAATGGATGCAGCTTCTTGCACTCTAGAGCACCACATGAGGCAAACGCTCGACTACGCTGAGATGCTGTGGGAACTGGACCTGTGGCGCCGGTCGGCGTCGTACTACTCGATTCTGGAGACGCTGAGCTACGCGCTTCAGGAACTCCACTGTGACGACGTGCACTTCGGGGCGATTCAGAAGATGCTTGGGGCCCTGTGCGACAAATTTGAGTGCGATGCGTCCTTCGACCAGATCATTCATGTGGACGGGCAGGATTTCCACTGCATAACCCCACTGTCTGTGCTTTTAGCCAAAATCACGGCTCTTTTCACGCATGTGTCGTCATTTTGACTAAACCTTCGGCATTAATAAAAAATATATCGGACAACTAAAAATATACTCACAATGGTAATTCGAGGATTAGAGGACCTGACAGAGCGATGTAGGCTAGCGAAAATAATCGAGAACGAGATTGCATCGTGAGCGCCTTACAATACGCAGAGGCATGGGAGAGCTGGAGGCACCCGGCAGGCATTTTCTTCGCCATCATCATCGAAAAGCCTATGGCATTCAATTAGTAGTTGGGTTCGTCCGAGGTCGAGATCCTTGAGGTCCAAGTGTATATATGTTGCAACGACTACTGTAGGGTTCAAGGGCAAGTACGCAGTCACTTAAAGTTAGTGTAGTTGGCGCAATGTACACATAATGCCCTCAATTTGGCTACGAACAGCGCAATCTGTGATGGGCGATAATACTTTTGGCCATCACTGGTGCCCATTTTGTTCACCGCAGCATGAGAGAAGAACTGGTCGTGCAGGTCTTCAAAGATGACTTTGGCATCGTGAGCATGGCCATGTCGTAGCAGTCCACCGGCGGATTCCAGCAATTCCAGCATGTTGGAGTACGGAAATAAGTGGTTCCACAAGGCAAGGGTCCACATTTGGTCCGCGTACCAAACAGTATTCGTGACGTGCTCGAGCAGAACCATGTCGTGGGCCGGGCATGCACACACACATACTTTGTTTCGAAGGGCGTGAATGTGTTGGTTAAGATGGATGGCGCCGACAAATTCAGCTGCCAACAAGGGGCTGTCAAACGTGTATGGCACGAACTCGGGTGATTGAGGGCCCTTGACTCGGACTTCCTTCTTTCCGGCCGCATCCAAGTGCAGGTCACAGGGAGCAACGGATGTAGCAAATCCATTCTGAGTCAGCGACACCGCCCCCGTGTCGATTCGCACGAAAAATGATGCCATGTGTGAACGGTGGAGCTTGAGTTTGTCGAGAATTGTAGGGTTCGGGACAACGTCGAAATCGGCCCCAATAACGTCAGAATTCGATCCGAGCACCTTTGTGTCGTTGGAATCGAAGAGGATCGAGTTGAGCTTGACAAGTTGGGCGGACATGTAGCAATTTGAAGTGGCTCAAGTCCAGTGGCGTGTATTTCTCATCCATGGTGAATTTACACTCGCTCTCTTGACGACAAGACGAGAAAATTGGAGATAAATTTAAACCGTGTGGCTGCACATGTTGACATTTGGGATTGGAACGTTGCATACGGCCTTGCCACGAGCGTGTAATTTGTGAATTTCAAAAATGCGACTCATTTCGCCTAGCCAGCATGCAATATTCCAAAAAAAACATTCATCGTGCATGGCACACATTCGAAATCGCAACCACGTTGTGCTTGGCCAAGAGATCGGAGCAATCCTTCGGGACGGCCTTCTCCAAAGCTACAACGGCGTTTCGCTCGACTACTTAAAGGGACAGGTCGGATGCCGCTAACATAATAGCACCAATATGTATCGACAGCGACGCATAAGAGCTGCAGAGTGGATGGCGTTGGCAGGATGTGAATGGCTCCATTCGGACATTTGATTGTTCTGAGACAAATATTTTGCAACATTCAATTGGACAGCAGAATTATCACCCCTTTTCAAATTTATACCGAATGTCTTTACGTGGCTCTACATCGAAGTGCACGACAACGTTCTGACTCGCGCGATCTTTGAGGGATAGAGCAAGCAACATAGTATTGTAGCTACGGTGATGTGCGACATTCAAGTGGATTCTTGGAAATTGTATCGCATATGAGCCACATTTGTTTGTTCACGCTTGAAGCGCTCAACAATGAGGGTCTTCGGAGTTTTTGCGATGAGTCGTCCACGTGGTCGTCGTACTGAAGCGCAGAAGTGATGTTGAAAACGTTGAACGCATTGGCGACCGTGATTCAATCTCAAAATTGCAATGCCGTTGGGGAATGCGTGGAGTTGCAACCGGCGATACGTATGGTTGCGCTTGTTCCACTTTTATTGTAATTGCCTGGGGGATTCTCATGTTTCACAATTGTGGAAACAGACGAGCTCAAGTCGGGGCTAATGTGCCATGAAAACGAATATAACATTTCTGTTGTGTAGCGAACAAAGGATTTGTTCGTGTTAACATCTCTGACGTCCGAGTCGACCATCGTCGACGTTAGTTCTGCGTTGGTCTAGCTCTTGCTCTTGGTCGTCCACTCGGATGCACCTTGATCTGATCATATGTCGCCATCAAAATCTGTCATTTGACCATGGTGTTGTTGAGTTGGATTCACTCCACCCACTCGATGGAGTTTCGCTGCCTTCGCTAGTAATCATCTATGGCAAGGCAAAGGTTTGGGGTTTCGAGAACGCTGGCGAACCCTTTGCTCTACAACTTGGCATGCTAAGTGAATGTAGTCATTCGGATTGACCACTGCACCTTCAGTTTGAACGGGGGGACACGATTTCATGTAGTCGCATATCGTTTCGACGATTTTATCGTGTCTCAGTTGCAATGGCTTCCCACGTCACGAGGAATCGAATGCAGTAGAAGCCCCATCGCTGCAGCTGACTGAGGTGTTCGTCAGATTCGGTCAACGGGAACGGCCTGTTCACACACGAGATGGACGTACTACCTGGAGCTGACGACGGCACCTTCGTGGACCCGCCAAGGTTCACGCCTCGAAGGAGCACCACGCGACCGTCTGCGTCCACGAAATGGCCATTGCGCAGCTCGAGGTGGAACGACACAGATGACGCCATGTAGTGTTGGAGGCACAGGGGAAGTTCGACAGGTTTGTCGCTCAACCCCGAAACCCCCAAATGCCTTAAAGAGAGCATCGAACTAAATTGGCACCGAGCCTGCTCTTCATCACTAAATATTTTGAAGTCATCACAATATAAATAGTTCGACGGCATATTTACTTTACTCATCATATTATATTCTTCATACGAAGTAGCAAAATAGACGCTATGGAAAATGTTTCGAGCGCCATGCATTTTGTAATTTGCGTAAATTGCCTACAACCCGACAATGTACTGAATTGGGAAATTGCACTTTTGCAGTGTTCCCACTCACAACTGACGACATGGGTCTTGCAGTCGTTCGTGGCAACTACGACGCACTTTCACATCAGCCATGAAGCTCTTGGTTCTAGCTGCCGCCGCCTCCGTGAGTGCTGCCACAATGACTGGTGCCAACTCGACGACCCGGACGTTCAACTGCTCCCAGGGCAAGGACTTCCGACTTATCGGGGATGTCTCGAACATTGCCAAGCCGACTGCCCAAGACTGCCAGGCAGAGTGCGGAGCCAACTGCAATGCCCTCACGTACTACAATGGCGTGTGCTACTTGAAGTGGCTCACGCTGGAGCAAATTCGGACCCAACTCACAGACAACGATCAAGTCATTGCGTGCACTTTGAAATTTAACAGTACTAACTCT